ACAATTTTTCACGAAATTGCAATAATAAAATAAGCAATTATAGAAGAGAAATTAGATATAGATTGAGAGAGATTGAGATAGATTGATGAATTGGTGAGTAAAAATGAAAGAATGAGGGGGTATTTATAGTTGAGAATTGGGAAAAAGTGTAATTATATAAAGTTTGGGGTTAAAATAAAGTTTGGGGGCCAAATGGCTATTTTTTAAAGTTCCAAACGGTTGAAAATTAAAGGCCAACGGCTAGATTTTAAAATCTGACCGTTGGTCTTTTTAAAAAAAAATTTTTTTTTTTTAAAAAAAGAGCCGTTGGAGCCCGTTAGGCCCGGTTGAACCGGCCCAGGACCGCCTGCCGGTCCCGGGCTTAGCGGTCCCGGTCTCGTGGGCCTCATGCAAGGGACCAGCCCGCCACGGGCTTTCTACACCATCAGGGACCGGCCTACCAGGACCGGCCCGTCGGGACCGTTTAGCCCGTTAAGACCGCGGGCCCGGTCCCAGACCGGCCCACAATACAGCATTAGGTGGAATGGGTCGACATTCAATTTATGTGTTGCTATCTCCTTTGGGATGCCTGGCATGTCTGCATGGGAAAAAGCAAACAGGTCTACGTTATTTTTTAAGAACTGACGGGACTTACCTTGGTTCTTGGAGCTTGTGGCCGATGAAGGCTTTCTTGTTGTGGTCGTTATCATCGAGTTGGACGAGGTCGAGATCCTCTATGGTTGACCCTGTAGTTTCTACGATCTTGGGGTCCCTGATAACGTCTTTCCCTTCACCACCTTCTGACCACGACTTTGTTAATTGCTATGCATCCTCGGCTTTGCCTTTCAGTTGTTGGGTGTATATGCAGTCTTGGGCGATGCGGTAGCATTCTCGGGCAGTGCGTTGCTCTCCTGGGATGTTGAATATTCCCCAGGGGGTGGGAAATTTGATCACTTGATATAAGCTGGAAGGGACAACTTTCATGTCATGTATCCAAGGTCGACCTATGATGGCGTTGTACGCCGTATCCTGGTCCATGATGTGGAAGGTGGTCTCCAAAGTGACATCGCCGGCCAGGACGGGCAATGTGATCTCTCTGGATGTTCGCACAACTGCGTTATTAAAACCCGTCAGTGTGATGCAGCGTGGTACTATCCTATCCTCGAGCTTCATTTGTGCGAGAACTCGAGGGTGGATGATGCACGCGCCGCTCCTATCATCGACCATAATACGTTTTACATCAGTATCTAAGATGCGTAAAGTAATGACAAGATCGTCCTAGTGAGGAAAAACCAAACCGTGGGTATCCGATTTATCGAAGATGATACTTTCTTTGAGTTCGTCATACCGTTCATGAGTGATTGACTACTTGAGTTTGTGGGTGGTGGTGAACTTCACGATGTTGATTGATGCGTCATCTCCCCCTCCGATGATCATTTGAATGGTTCGAGGTGGGGAAGGTGGCTTGGGCGGTCCCTGGTGCTGTTCACATCCTCGGGCGAAGTTGGCTCTCCCCCGGTCGCTCATCAGTTCTTTCAAGTGCCCTTGGTGAAGCATGTTCATGACCTCTTGTCTTAGGGCGATACAGTCCTCGGTTTTGTGACCCCGCTCCTGGTGGAACTCGCATAGGGCATTTGACTTTCTGGTGCTCGGGTCGGAACTCATATTCTGCAGCCACTTCACTTTTGGGCCGAGTTTCTCCATTGTGTAGACTATTTTTGAGGGGGAAAACAGAAATTGTGAGCGGATAATAAGGGTGCATACCTCTCTTACTTCGGTGAGTTACTTTTCGTGGCCTGGATGGGCCTTCGTCATGGCGAGGGGGTGGCATGAGGGGTGCCTCTGACATAGGGCTGATGTCCGATTGGGCCGTGGTCTGCCTAGATCTCTTGTTGTCGTTTCTTCGGTCCTTTTTGGACTCGGCTTGTACCGAAGTTAGCCATTGGGTTGGCCCATTCAGATCATCTTCGACGGCTCGAACTTCGACGCAATAGGCATTGTGTATTTCATCCCAAGTGGTCGGGGGATACTTCATGAGGTGGCTTAGAACCTTTCTGGTTGCCCTCGAACCACTTCTGTTCAGCCCATTTGAAAGGCTGCCACGACCATTTCTTCCTATACGTTTGGTAGGGTCATTCTTACTCGGTTAAATCAAGCAAGGAAGTCCCTCAGTCCCTCTCCAAGTGATTACTTGATGGCGAATATGTCATTTACCCTTGCCTTCGCCTTTTTTGCTCCGGCATGGGCTGTTATGAACTTGTCGGCCATTTTTTCGAATATTTCAACCGAGTGTGTGAGCAGCTGTGAATACCAAGTCAATGCACCCCCGGTGAGGGTTTCGCCAAACTTCTTCAGTAAGATGGAGGACACCTGCTCTTTGGCGAGGTCGTTGCCTTTTACTGCGGTGACGTAGTGAGTCACATTATCTTTAGGGTCCGATGTGCCGTCGTATATTTTCAGGTACGACGATATTTTGAAGGTTTTGGGTATTGCGTGTGGTGCAGCTTCGTCGCTGTATGGCTGCTCAACAAACTGACCGGCATCCCTTTTTGGTAGGAGTTTTGGGGCACCCGGTATTTTGTCTACCCTTTCTTGATGTTCTTTCATTTGATCGTGGAACATTTTTTTCTCATTCTCCATCTCCTCCAATTTCCTCAGAATGACCGTGAGGGTAACGTTACATGCATCACTAACATTATGAGTAATACCTGTTACAGGGAGTGGCATGCTGCTCGTCAGCTGCTGATGCAATGCAAACTCTTGCCTCCTCTCGATTCGGCCTTTGAGCGGGCTCGTTGAGGAAACTGGTTAGCGTGTTTGTCAACCACGCTTCGAGCAACTTTTTCACTGCCGGTGGTGCCTTTTCTGTTGTGGATGTGGAGGCCCCTTTACCGTGCGAGGTTGTGATGCTACCATGAGGAGGGGGCGAGCTTTTTCGCCTGGGAGAGGTGTTTGGTGTTACATCTTCGCCCTCCGTTTCATTTACTTCGTTGATGGTGTGGAGGAGGTTGGTGGTGAGGTCCGCTATTGCTTTCCTGTTTTCCTCTTCGTTGCCTGCCATGTTAGATTTATGCACACAAGGAAGTATAGGGTTTTTTGCGTTAGTTTTTTTAGATATAGAAAAAACTAAAGTTTTAACTAGAAAATTCCCACAGACGACGCCAAATTGTTTGACCAAAAAATGTAAAACTTTTTGTTAAACTAATTAGATAAGAAGATAACGGGTAAATCCTAGTTAAGGATAATAATTTCTAGATTTGAAATATGTTTATGCTGATAACATGGGGTTGCTTTAATCCGGTTTAATGCGACATACATTAAATGACACGGCCAGAATGAAGGAGGAATAATAATGAGCAATAAATATATTAAATGACACTAAATGTAAATAAAGTGAAGGATTCACCCAATATTGAATGAGGTGGATGATTCCTCTCTCTGACAATGATGTAAGACAATTGAATATGAGAAGATAGGGAGCTTCTTCGGATCTGATGCGAGAAATATGGAATAAACAACAAATCAAATCTCTTTTGAAAGGTAATGTTTGTATTTTTCTTCAGAGTCAACTTTTCAACCGAGCTCTTATCATATAGAATACTACATGCCTCTTTCCTTCTCTCTACCTTTCTATTTATATGGGACATGCTTCAAACCTAACCTAGAATACAAGTAGAGAGAATATTCTCCTAAATATCTTATTACAAAACTAGTCGTTATTTGCTGTCCTGAGCTTTCGACCTCGGCCCCGATTAGCAGCTCGCCAGTAAGTCCCTTTAATTTTGTGTACGACCTCGACCTAATCGCCTTTTAGTAATTTATCCTTGTGCCGGGCTCCCTTAAATCAGATTTTGACCCATACAAAAATAATAAAGTCTTCGAATGTTTTCTCCAAGAAGATCACCGCAAAGAATCTGCTTGCAAAGTCCATTGATCATTGTGAAAACTGACTGTTGGCTTTTCATGGCAGTAAATGATAAAGGGGCTTTCATGATTGTGTTTTCCTTCATATGTTGTTATCAAATAGCTGGAATCAATTCCATCTCTTTCCACCTTCTTCTTTACCTTGCAACCTCCACTTGAACACTTGTAGTAATTCCTGTTTAATTGGTTTCCCCATTTTGTTAGTGCATTTCTGATGTTGTATTCCCTATTGAGATACATATTTCATTTATTTGTTATTTCATCTTAAGATGAAAAGATAAAAGAAGAGCAAAAGAAAATAAATATATAAAAAAACTATACATCAATTCCGAGCAATATTAGTTGGGATCGGCCATATAAATTCTTACGATTGATGTTACCTCATTTAAACATGTCTTGGTCCAATATTACAAAAACTATATGTTTTTCAAGCACCACAAGTTTTTTGCTTTTCACTAGGCAACATAAAATAAAAGGTTAAAAAAGTATAGGTCAAAGAATCTAAAATTTATAACAAAAAGATATTGGAATAAATTCGATAGGAACCGACAAGAATGAATGAAGCAGATGTTAGCTGGGGATAATCTGCATCAGTCAGTCGCTGACTTACTGCTGCAAGTCTTCAATATATAAATCCTCAAAAGAAAAAAAAAGTCTTCAATATATCCATTGTGAATTACATGTCGGTCGTTAAGAATATCGTCTCGCTATCACCTTTAAGGCTTTAATTATGTCTTATTCACCGACAAGGGTTGTGGTGGAGTGGTAAGTACTCCTTCATCCTTAACTAGAGGTCTCGAGTTTGAGCCCCTGGGAATGGAGTCGCCTTTGTTAGGGAGCGCTTTACCCTCCCCCCCCTCCCCCCCTCCCCCCCTTGTGGGACTTTCCGGCGCGAATCCGAATTAGTCGGGCCTCAATACGGGTACCGAATACCGGGTGAGAAATAAAAAAAAGGGAAACTTACACAAATGTCCTTAATAAGTTTCAACTTACCAACCTCTAGCCATTAGTCATAGACTTGCCAAAATTAGCCAAACATATGTAAAAATTAAAAATCAAATAAATAAGGTTCTTTCTCTCAAAGAATCACATGCAAAAATCACCTTCCATATATTTTAAGCGTGATTAGCAACATTAGATGCAAGACGGAAAGGAAATTTTATGGATGAGGTATCAAATAAGGTGATGAAATACAAAAAAAAAAAATACAATATTCCAAAAATCTAAACAAAAAAGGAATTTTTTTAAATGGGTATAGTTGAAATTCATTGAAAACATATAGATAAGTCAATATACAAAATTTGAGGAAGATTGGAGGTGATTTGGACTGGTTTTGTATCAAATTTCATAATTAAATCGAGTTCAAAAAAATCTTCTGCGACACAGGTATCAAACATGTATCACGCATGTATTTCACACACAGGTATACATGGATATACATGTGATACGCAATTACAAATATGATACATATGTGATACACAAATGATACACAGTGTGACACACACATCATTTTTTTCATATTCAGTTTTTACTTCGAATTTTCAATTCAAACCACCTCAAAACTTCACCAAATCGTCCCAAAACTGTGATTCAAGCTCCTTAAGATATACCCAATCTATTCTAATAGCACCCACTCAAAAGAAAGCAAAAATTTGATATTTTTTTGCTACAAATAGCTAATTGCCAATTTGATTAATATTAGTAATATTTTATCAATTGACCAATTTTTGTAATGAGCTACCTATAAATGGACATAGCCGATAATTTCCCAAAAAAAAAAATACTCTTATTCATAATGTGTGTGTTAGCTATAGCGCTAGAAGTTTACTTATCGGTTCAGTCTAACTCAATAATTTTAGTTCAATAGTACAGCTATATTAAAAATATCACTAAATATATATGCACAAAAACTAATTTTAAAAATCAGTTACAAACATGTGATATTGCTATTCTAAATTATACTATGAATAAAGTTCAAATTTTGGCTCTATCCTGATGTGTGTTGTGGGAGTTTGTGTGGGTGTGTGTGTGAGGGGAGGGGGGGTGGGGTATGAAAAAGACCTTTTCCAGAGTCAAGTGACTCAAGCGCAGTCTAATTAGACCATATTTTTGTGATATATAATAGGACCAGTTTAGATATGTGTGCGTATATATATTAAAAAGGGATATTATCACTTTTAGCTCCCGTCATAATTATTTACATTCGATAGTCGAAAATATGTATAAACTTTGTATGCTTTTTGTATATATAATATACATAATGTATATATATACAATAAATATATATTCTTTCGGCTATTATTTTGAGAGCAACTATACAATATAATTTTCCCTATTAAAAAAGGTACATTCTACTCACTTTCTCAATATTTGTGTGTCCGTACTTGTGAAAAATTGAATTTTAATCAAGTTTGAGATTCTAATATTTGCAATTCTTAGTTAATTAACAAACACATACATGAAAGACTTCTAGCACCCAATAATTGGCTTTTATATATTTAGTGTGTGTACAATCCTTGAATATTTCTGAAATAATCCACCTTCAAAAGCAAAAGTAATAATATATATAAATTAGAGTATTTAGAAAGAATTTGCACCGAAACATCAAAATAATTATCATATTGATGTAGACGATCATCACGCAAGCTAGAGCTCAGAATTTTGATATATTTACCTTGGATTTGTGTTACTTTTCACCTTCTTTTTTCCATATTTCCTCCATTTGTATCCATCATCCAATATCTCAAGCTCGGTCTTTGTTCTAAAAGCAATTGCATGTTTTTCAGCCTTCTTTTCTTTCTCTATCCCCTTATTGCTTGAATTTCTTTAAAACATCAACATCAAACAAACAAGTAAATAAATAATTAAATATATAAACCATTAAAATCATCAATGAATAATTATCAATATCCTCCAGAATTATCACCCTTAGTTTAGTAGTGACTTACTCATTCATGTGAATATTTGTTGGTGTGGCATCAAATGAACTAGCTGATGAGTTTCCACTATAGGTACTAGTGCTTATCTCTTGTTGCATGAAAGGATTTTGTGAATAAAGTGAAGTATTAAAGCTATTATTTGAGTTGGAATATTCTTCACCATCATTAATCAAATTGTCAAGAAATGAAGTGTCAAAATCTTGATACATATTGTGGCCATGATCTTGATTCATATTGATGAGAGATGAAAAGGCAAAATTAGGGTTTATAGTTTGATGAGAAATATTGGTTGTTTCTTGGAAAGTGGAAGAGCCAAACATGGTTTAATTTGAGAAGAAGCCAATGAATAAAGACTTGATAGTGTGTTAGAATGAATGATGTGGTTGTATTTAATAATTTGATAGTGTGGTTTTATATAGTATTATAGATTGTGTGGTGAATCTCTGTCTTTGGATATGAGCTTCCTTATCACCTTCCTAGCAGTATCTATGGAGTTTCTTTACCTTTATTAAGTGTCACTCTTCTTGTGTCATCATATGACGAAATAATTGAACAGGTTAAGTTTAGAACTTTTTTTAAAAAGTCTGAATTAATAACAAGGGATATACCTTAAATTCAGAGTTTGATTTCAGAATTTGATGTCTTATTTTTGTTATGATGGTGGTTTCGGTTACCTTATACCTTACATGCACCTCGACTATTTTATTATATATTTATTACTTTTTATCGGGATATGCACCGATAACTTTACAATTCAAAGCTTAATTAGATAGAACGCAATGCCTTATTATATTCGGATTACACAAATAAACTAGTAAAAATTGCACGGGGCCTTATTTGGTCGCCCCCATTTAACCTATACCCATTTTTTTTAAACTTTTAACTTGTACCCACTTTTTAAATAACTCCTCCTCCTCCTCCTCCTCCTCCTCCTCCTCCTCCTCCTCCTCCTCCTCCTCCTCCTCCTCCTCCTCCTCCTACTACTACTACTACTACTACTACTACTACTACTACTACTACTACTACTACTACTACTCCTCCTCCTCCTCCTCCTACTACTACTACTACTAGTCATGTTTGATCTTATTTTCTAGTCAATGCACTAGAGAGAAAACTCTTGCATATTTATTCAGAGATGCTTTTTGTTTTTTAGCAGAAAAAATAGTGTATGTTTTTTTCTTTTGCACAAGTTATTACATAAAATTACAACTTCTATTTTCTTAATCAATGATAAGCACCTTTTCTTTGCAATTTGACGTGGACCATTTGAGGCAACAATAAGAACTTAAGTTACTTTGTTATTCATTTTCGTACTTCAATTATTTGGCAAACTGCCCTTGATTCCGTGAATACCGTACCATATATATAACAAAGAAAACTACAAAAGTTATTTAGAAAGTGGAGCCATAACTATAGCTGAAGTTAAGTGAAAAGAGTGTCATTTGGGGTAGTAAACATATAATGAACTAAATCACTTCAGCTCTATAGCTGAAGTGCGAACTTCAGGAGCTGAAGTTCGCCAGTTATAAAATAAAAACTTCAGCTTTAGGCCAGTTACAAAATTTACATTGAGCTTGACTATCTATGACGCAGTCGAAAGCCATTAAAATCCATATATATAAATATCAGTACTAGCTCTTGCTATTGCAGAATAAATGATTCACTCTTTTTAACGTCTGTCTCCTTGCTGTTTCTCTGGGCATTCTTGATCACGCCCAACTATGCTTTATAAAAAGGACTCTGCGGACATTGCAAATATAACCCGAGTATTACGCTCAGGGTCGAATCCACAGAGAGTTAACCTATCAACCACTATCTTCAGACCCACTAATTCTTCAGAACCAGCTTCCCAAATATTCAAATCTCAGTTGAGTGTTCTTTAACAACTAGCTTGCAAGTAACTAAATGGCTGTAACTAAATTAATAAGGTTGTAAACAATTATGAGGAAAAGCTAAGGCAATGATTTCCCCTATTGATGGAATCCCTTCTGTTTATGCTCATACAAATTTACCCACACATCTCTATCAATCATGAACGCTAATCTTACCGCAAATCTCTCTCGAGTAATCACAGCAATCTACTATTGCACTCTCCCGAGATACACTAGCTTACTTTATTTAGCACAATTCACTTTAGATTACACCCAAGGCTTCGTTATCCCTAATCCCGCCTTAAAACCCGCAATTATAGATTCCTCGAATAATCTAGGAGTGGTATTGTTCAACAATACCTTAAATATGCACTCTTTTCCAAGTTATGCACACTAAATAGGCACAGCTAATTGAGGATCCTGTCAATTAACTACAACGAACACGAAGTTAAACAAATAGAGATTAAACTAGCAATTTGTATTCACATAAACAAGAAGTTCATCACCCAATAGGTTCTATCAAAACCTTAGACAAGGAATTTAGCTACTCATGGCTATGGAAAAATAAACTAAGATTGAATTCATCATAAAAATCAAAAGAAAAGAAGAAAGATGTTTAGAGTATTCTCTCACAATGGTTTTCCTTGCTAAGAAACCTTAAAAATCAATACATGCCTCTCTTGGGCGAAGTCTAATGTTTTAAATAGGGTTTAGGTCTAAAAATCCCGTAATTGACACTTTGGTCCCTGAAGTTTCTGCGCCTGCCGCGGTTCTGCGGATTCTCTGATCTTCTGAAGCTGCTTCCCACCGCGGTTCTGCCGCGGTCGCGGTGGAACCGCGGTGGATCCAGTACTCTGAATCTTCGGCCTGTTTTGCATGGTTCACTTGGGAAATTTCACAGTTGGCCTCTTTTTCATCACTTTTAACTCCAAAACTGCTCCTTAGCCTTCCTTATACATATATCACCTACAAATCATGAAAAACACTAATAGGAGCATTTTGTCATCACTTTTAGCATTAAAACTACACAAGAAGGTGATTATTTAATGGTGTGATTATAGTCAAATTCACCTATTATCAATTCTCTTGTGAAAACGAAGTTAATTACTTCAGCTTGGTGTTAACATTTTTTCTGGCTTAATTCCTGATGAAATTTGTTCGATCACCAGTCTTGAAGTTCTTGTGCTTTTCATGAATTCATTTCAAGGAAAGATTCCATCTTCTATAGGCAGACTCAGAAATCTTCAACAGTTGGATCTTCGAAAGAATCGTTTGAATTCAACCATTCCTTATGAGCTTGGCCTCATGTGTACTTCAGCTCTAGTATGTAATATTAATAGGTGGTAAATGACTTTTTCATTTAATATTATAGGTGGTAAAAAAACTTCAGCTCTAGTATGTAATATTAATATGTGGTAAAAAAACTTCAGCTCTAGAGCTGAAGTTTCCAGTTACAACACAAAAACTTCAGCTCTAGAGCTGAACTTCATGCCCGGCTACTAGAATGCTGAAGTTTTGCGTGATTGCATTTGCTACTTCAGCCCCGTATGCTGAAGTTATGCGAAAAAACGGGTACGCATGTAAATTTTTTTTGCAAAGCGGGCACAAGTTGAATGAATATATTGCACCTTGAAATCATCATTCTTGATAGATATATAATATCTTTATATAATGTCGTGGAATGGCTTTCAATATCTCCATAGAGGTATTCTCGCTATCACATTATCATGCTTATAATTATAGCATATTTGCACAAATTGCACTGAGGATGTGGTACTTCAAGATCAAGAATTGTATATGCTTCAAGCAATTTAAATCCTTCATGGATTGTCATATAAGTCATATAATAGACTTTAATTAGATGCATATCAAGTTTTCATGTCATGCTAGACAAATAAGATATCGAAAACTGATTGCACATACCATTAACTTTATACTTTCAAGTGTTTGAACTGCAGGTCCAAAACTACATGTCTTTCATATAAAACCAAATTCTACTTGAATTGTTTCTCCATACTTAAGATCCTCATATATATTTAGCGCTATTATAGATGTCGTCGACAAACATTTTATATCGGTTCCAACCTCCTTATTTTTCATAAAGACATAACATAGAGATCTCTTCATTCATTTCAAGTACCTAAACCTCTCCTAAGATTTTATGAAGTATTATGTCATGTGATCTTCTAGATTACTTGCCTCCTTTAATATGATCATTTTGATCATTTGCTCATCTTCTTTATCAAGAAGTTTTATTTGAAATCGATTTGTCTATCGCTTTAAGCGTACCATAGACTTTGTCCTTCTAGGACTTAATAGGAGCATTTGGGATGAGAATATAGTTACTTTCTTTGGGTCAGCAAATGCGTCTGGCATGCTTTGCAAAAAATTAAAAATGAATTATCCTTTTATGAACTTCAAGTTCATTTTATTTTATTCGAGGATCTAGATGTAGAAATGATAATTCATTCCACGTAACTTTTTCTCAATTGTTTATCGTTTCTCCTCCTCATGTTAGAAAAACTAACTTGCTTCCTCAACTTTGAAAATCCGCCTTTGTGCGTTATGGTATTAACCAAAATATACCCCGCACATCAATAATAGTAAGATGGAATTATTTGGTTCCTGACCCGGAACCACTTGTGAGGGGAAAAAATAATATACTTTCGTATATAACGTATATCAAACTGAAATAGATAACTTTGCAACCCCTACTACATCTGCCTTTACGATATTTACTATATTTCGTACGTTTCGGATATAGCACGTCCCTTTTTTTTTTTTACTATATGAGGACCAAAAAGAAAGACCACCAAANACTGCTCTGCTCCCCCCAAAAAAAAGAGAGACTTCATTTCTTCCACCTTCCCTGTACGAGTAGTGAAGAAGTATAGAGCACTTTAGTTGGTTGTTGACCAACGGAAAGCATGGGAGAAAAAAAGGAAGAATTTACGCAATTTCTTTTCTAAGAAAGAGATCATAGTGATTGATGGCTCTTTCAATCCGCCGAAATGGAACGCTTTGGCGTGTACCAAAATGGAGAATTTGGGTCAGATTTATAAGCTTACGACCACTGAACAAACTTGGTTGACGAACATAGTTTATGCGCCGCTAATGTAGCGGCTTGTCGAGCATTTGACAAACTCACACCATCCATTTCAAATAGGATTTGTCCCCTGGACACACGAGCAATCCAACCCGTAGGATTTCCCTTTCCTCTTCCCATTCTTACTTCTGTAGGTTTCCCGGTAATAGGGATATCTGCGAGAACTCTTACCCATATCTTACCATTTCTTCGGAATTGTCCGCTCATAGCACGATGGAAGTGTCCGATTATAGCACGACGCGCTGCTTCAATGGCTCGATATGAAAGACGACCAGCTCTACAACTTTTAGTGCCATATCTTCCAAAACCAAGTTGTGTACCGTCCGGTTTGCAACCCCTACTACATCTGCCTTTACGATATTTACTATATTTCGTACGTTTCGGATATAGCACGTCCCTTTTTT